CATTTTTTTTACTGTGTTACTGCAAAGAGCCACATACACATGGGCATCCCGTCCTCGCGCGCACTCGCAAGCACGCGCACACACACACACACACACACACACACACACACGCACACGCACACACACATGCACACACTCACACGCGTTCCCCCCCGCCTTTCCTCCTCCCACCCCTTGCGATCGACGTATTGGGCACCCCTGCCTTGACATCAGAGGTAATTCGCTGACATCTTGGCCTGTAGTATCGGCCAAGATGTATTTTCTTTTAAAAAGTCTCTTGGAACCATATGGTAAACATGACAGGAATTCCCCTATGTTAAATTTTCTTTCTCGTTTGGCCCCATTTTTGACCTTTTAAAAAGAACAGACTTTAAAAAGCTCCTGCTAAAACTCTTTTGTTTTCTGTGCTTTGCTTTTGAACGTCCTTGACTGTTGTGTGTGTAATGCTTGTGTGTTATGTCTTTGCTTCTGTCAAACACATTGAGTTGCCTTGCCTTGTCTTGCCTTACCGATAGATTTTATCAGATTGTCTTGAAACTGTGGGTGTTTTACATTCAGATCTTCAAGACAAGGAAAACCAAAGCTTTTTATTTCGCTGAGCACATTTGTCATGGCAAAGCGCTTTTGTGAAAATAAAAATTACACTTAATTTGATGGTTTAAACATTTGTGAAATGATGAAACATATCACGAGCCCTAGAAAGTTTGAACGAACCAACCCCGGTTGTATGGTTCAACAAGATAAACCAAAAATTGGAGGCATACGCCGAAGACTTACAAAAATTCTCTGGAGCCCTACTCTAAACTTAACAGTAACTCGGCCCATTTCTAATTTCCTTTCAAATTGTACCTTATTTTTGGCATCTTACAGACGTCATATTTTAACAAAGTGGCTTTTCATCTGATGTACATTTAAAAAAAAAAAAACTAAATCCAATGTGTCCTTATAGCTGCCCACAGTTCTAGTTAGATTTAAAAAAAAAAAAAACCTGGTTGGCATCTAATTGGTCAACATCTAATAAATAAAGCTGCGACCAGCTATGAAGGGCCCTCGCAACCTGGGCCACTTTGACGTACTGGCACATTGGAATCGGATGGGTTTTTTTTAAATGGCACAATCAACCACTAAATTATGGATTGTTTTTTTTTGTTATTCCTTTAGATTGTATTATATTATCGTAGGTCAACTTTCTGATACTATTTTTGTGTATCTTCAGTGCTTTTGCTTCTGCTATACCCGACATTTTTTCAGTGCTTTGGTTCCAGTTTTCAGCAAGAAAATCTCTGATAAAACATTCCACTGTTCACAAGTATCTTCATTTCTATTTTTCTTTACAAAATAAGATGGAAAAAAAAAAAACAAACAAATCAAAGAACGTAATTTCCGCTGGTCCCAGATCGGATCAGGGTTCTGCCCCTGCATATGACGTCGAGCACAGCACAGTCATTGATTGGTTGAAGGTCAAAAAACATGGTGGCTGTTTAATATTAAATAAAACATTTAAAAAATTTATA